AGCCCGACCCGATTTATCGTCGGGGACAGTCTTAAGCCGTCGTGAGAAATATTAAACACGTTTAATATTCTACTACGCGACTGCCCCCGACGCACACCATCGCGTCTGCGTTCAACTCACACAGATTTGTTGTCGCGTCGGGCTGCGTCGGCCGACGCTGTCTGAGTTGGCCTTACACGCACATTTCGGTATACATTTACGCTGTTCCTCACCTCAGCAACTATATCCAAAGTGCAGGGCTTGCCGGACTACAGATCATCGCGAAGTATAGTTCGCGTTAGCATCGAATGAGCTGACGCGTTTACGTTTCTAGTTACATTCAGAACTATATTTTATTCGAACATCACTTGGCGGCCACATGAACACACAGGCATATTTAAAATATGTATGGGAAAATACGTCAGATCCCTTTACAGACATTCAATTTCGGGGTCTATTACCTTTAAAGGCATCTAATTGGAAAACGCTATGTAGTTGCCGGTGACGCGGATACGTAGTGAATTTTTGGATGCAGGGATTGTTATAAGTGCAGTGTCACGAGCGATATTTGTTACATCATCATATATCATAAATTGAAAGTTATCCTGGCAACATGTTCGTTTTTCTTATCCAGCCAATTCCCATAGTTATTCATGAAATGTAATTCTAATCCGTTTGTGAAATTGTAGGTTGGTTCAAGATCTCTTGATATATTTTTTGGATTTTGTATCCTCGATCCTCTTTGCAACTTCGAAACACGCAAGATGACTGTGTGAAATACAGTCTTAAAACGACTTGATGAGCGCACTGCACAATGTGCTACCCGATATTCTCAAACGGATGTGGTGGCATTGCTTCTCATTTTTTTGGTTTTTGTTTGGCAGTACCGGTTAATTTTATTCTATATTTTACGTGTTTTCTCTTCATCAACATCATTATCATTTTTTCAAACTAGTAAAAATCTACGGTACTTACCAAAAGCTGTAAACCAATAGTCAGTGGTTATATTCTACCTTCTAGGCAATGTTTTTTATACTGTACTCTGTTCCGTTCCTTATTACACGGTATTCTGTTCATTATTACACAGTAAGGACATAATTTCTCAAGTTAGTGCACACAAAACAATAAAAATGTTATAAATCAATATGTAGGCCAATGACAATTCGCATATTCTGCTGATTTCAAGAATGGTTATCAACTAATTGCTCTTTGTTATTGTTATTATTTCTTATTATTATTATTATATTTATACTAAATATTATTGCGGTTACTATTTATATCATTATTTATTTTCAATATCGTCATCGTTATTATTATTACAATTAGGGCCTATACTTTAAACATGCAGAAAAAAGGGCTGCTATACTTTGCAGGTGGAAAACGGCGCCGCGAGCAGCTCTGTTAGAGATGGATACATGCACCAAATAAGATGAAATTATTATACTTCATACAAAACTGTTTTCTTTGATACAGAACTAGTCATTAGGCTAAAATACTTCATATGAAACGATTTGATAGGCAGAATTATCCTCATAGGAACGATTTTAAAAATAAATAACTATATTTTAAGATTTGCTTCCCATGCTGACTACCAACCTGCTGTTACTGTTCAGCATGTGGCTGAGCGTGTGTAAAGGCCAACTCAGACAGCGTCGGCCGACGCAGCCCGACCCGATTTGTCGTCGGGGACAGTCTTAAGCCGTCGTGAGAAATATTAAACATGTTTAATATTCTACGACGCGACTGCCCCCGACGCACGGCCAACTCAGGGAGCGTCGTACGACGCAGCCTGACGCGATTGGTTGTCGCGTCGGGTCTGTATGAGTTAAACACTGTATGAGTTAACCCCCCGACGTAAAGGTACGTCGGGGGGTTATGTCCTATCAAGAAAGGTTACAGAAACTTGGTTGGCTCTCTTTACAAAACAGGCGTAATTTTATTTTAGTTTCTTTTGTATTTCGATGTTTTTACAAACATAACATCTGCAGTGCAATCAATAATATAGTTATCAATTCTCGTCATCCAAATAATCTTACTTTCATTCATCCATTTGCCCGCACCGTTGCACTTAAACATTCATCTATTCATTCATTTCCTGTGTATTGGTCATCCCTTCCAAACCGAATTAAAGACGATGCTGTAAATTGTAACCTAAAAGTTTTTTTAAAGAGGTTCAAATCGTATCTTTTTAGCATTCATATGTAGATATAATTTTAATATTTTTTTGTTACTTTTTACAAATTTTAACTTAATATATTGTAAATATTTTTGATGTTTTTGGTGTTTTGCTGGGACTTCTGACTCATTGAGTCACAGAGGCTATTGCTTCTTTAGAAGTCCCAGGACCTTTGTGTCTAATAAATAAATGAAAATGAAATGAAACGATGGTGTGCGTCGGGGGCAGTCGCGCCGTAGAATATTAAACATGTTTAATATTTCTCACGACGGCTAAGACTGTCCCCGACAATAAATCGGGTCGGGCTGCGTCGTACGACGCTGTCTGAGTTGGCCTTAAGTGTGATACTGTAACACGTTATGATGGCCAATTGCACTGCACGAGCCAATTTTCAAATCAATTTTTTATTGTCTAACACTGTAAAATATAGGCCTACAGATTAAAAATATATAAATATATACTTAAAGAAACAATCACCCAATCACCACAAAAAAAAAAGCACAACACGATACATCACATCATAAAATGTTAACATATAAAGATTAAAATTGGAAAAGTTAAAATTGCAAAAATTGGTAAAAGAGGGCTTAAAATTTTGTAAAGAGTAATTTTAGAAGAGTTATTATGTAAGCCAAACAAATTCATGTCGAAATGTTATGAAAGTCAGTTGGCCTTTACGTGTAACAAAGAGAAATTCTGATAATCGATGCGCATGAAAAATGTCTTTTGGAGGGCATCGACATCAGCATCATACGCTTATCATCTGTAACTGTGAATGATATGGGCCTAAGTTTGCAAAATCCATCGTCGCGATACGCACAAATAGTGTGCTCTTTAACATTAAATGGTCGTTAACGTTTAAACTGACTTTCTTTAATTTTAACAAAGAGTAATTATAATAATCGATGCACATAAAAATGTCTTTGGAGGCAATCGACGACATCAACATCATTCGGAATTCAAAATTATCATCTGTGACTATGAATGATATATGTTTGAAATGCATCGCAGCGATACACAAAGAGGGTACTTAGGGCTTTAGTCTTAATGAATGATATTTAATGTTTAAATTGACTTTCTTTCTGTGACAAGTGTACCAATCTGCTCAATCGGAGTATTTTATGGCGAATTGAACAAACAAATTATTAATACAGAAATACTTTCAAAATTTCAACCATTATTCATGACAATGGGACACTTTCAGTCACTTTTGTAACTGTTGCGGCTCATTAATTCCAAGTAGTGACTAAATCCCTCACAACATCCTTGTTTTAAATAGGCACTAAAGCTTAAGTCGTTAATGATCATGCTCAGTTTAAAATATACGTTTCTTATCAGTAACGAAAGGGCATACTTCCGTCGTCAATTTAAAATAAATCAATGTAATACTACAGGTAGAAGTATACATTAGAATCGGCACGCTCAATGCCGGTGGGTATGTACAGTAGATTGATAGGTAATGGAAGGGTGGGTGGCTGGATGGATAATATATAGGCCTAAAACAAGATTCAATCATTTTTTCTGGTCCTTATGCCTATTAAAAATATGTAGAAAATTGTGAGATAAACTTAAAACGAGGGAAACAAATGATGAGATTCTTTTCACAACGAATGTTGTTGAGAGCAGGTGTGATACAACTAATTCCTCACGGATTGCTAAACATTAAAACTTACAGAGAATTTGTACTTTTTCATAATGAGCTTTTATAAGATAAGATAAGATAAACTTTATTGTCATGACCACAATACACAAATATATAACTAGGTCTGTGTAAATTTCTTCCTCTGAGGTATGCATCTTCAGGATTCTACGTCAATTCGACTTTTCGTCAGTGAATGAGCCAGTCGAACGATAGCTTGCAAATTGCCAACATGATAGTTAATCCGAAAATTAAATGGCGGGAAACAATTTGCTTGGGTTGCTCTGTCATACATCTGATCAGTTTTGTATTATGTATTTTTGTACTGCATGTGCTGCCAGCGAGCCCCGTGACAGTAACGTTGCGTTGCCTTTGGGCAATCCGGCCAGTCAACCATATTGTTTGTACTGGTGAAATAAATGATATATGATATGATATCGCTGCTATACTGGGACCAGGAGTTTCTTAATTAGGACATGGTAACCCATGGCACGCAAGGCGTGGTTGACAAAATTAGTAATGACATAAAAACGCTGTTTTGAAAAAGATTCTAATTTATGATGCGATGAGAGGTATTCAGGTATTGATTTTTAATTAACTTAAGTAATCTCTTCAACACGTGCGCACAATTAGCAGACGACATAATATATATCCCATCAGTACAAGCAAGTATGTGAAATTTAACGTTAACACTTTTTTTAATCTGTTTCTGAATGAAAGGTCAATCATAAGTTGACAATAAATGAATGGACAATAATTTACTGTTTCTACGTGTCTTTATCGTCTGCACAAAAAATAGTCTTTGAAGTGGCTCTTATAGGCGCCGAGTATATGTCATAGACCTGCCCACCAAGGCCCTAGACCTACTATACCTTCTAACGGTCAATAGTGTATGAATCTATCGGCTACATGGCTTTATCACAACCAGTTCTTATATGAACAACTTTGGATGAAAATTCTTGATTATGACGCCAAATAATGAGTGGACAGCAGCCATTAAACTCTGTACCGAAAGACAAACAATTGAACATGGGTAGACATGAAGGGACACCACCCGATAAGGTTCCAATTAAGTGGTTCTACCCTGTACTGTACTTGAAAACATCTTTTTCAAAACCTACCTACACAAAGTACCAAACTACCAAAAGTAGGCCTAAGCTTATATAACCAACTTAGCTGTACCTATACATTGATAATACAACTTACCTTTATTCCCGATTATAATCAGGCAAAGTGCCCTAAATAACCACATTTTCTATCAATGTGAGTGTTGACGAGGTTGACGTCCGTTTGTATATGAATTACAACTGAGTTATACTCCTGTTATAGATACGTGTTTAAACGCGCGATGACATGCGTGTCATAAAAATACGCTCTATCCAGTCAAAAAACCGCTATGGCATAAGCGTCTCCTAATTAACCTGCTTCATTAACAGTAAACAACGCTTAAGCTTAATTAGTAGTTTTCATTAAAAGATACCATTCTACGTTTGTCGTTGTTAAGTGTTCAACTGCCTGTCGGTAACTTTGAAACAGCGCCACAAATCTTTGTGTTTTTTTTGACATTAATACTTTACGTGGTCACATAAAATTAATCGAATTCCTATGTTTCCACAGAGTGTCCAGACTACCTAGCACCAGGTGTGGGTGACGATTATCTATGGCACGGTCGCTGTGAATATACGTTGCTGTTGAAAGCTAGTGTACACTCCGTCAGTCTAAATTGGCTTAAACCGTCCACGGCTGCTATTGACAGACCAAGTATGCTATTGGATAATAATTAGCGAGTCACGTTGATGATGTAAGAGGCGTGCGTCGATTGGCCTAATAATCGGGAACTTATAACGTGCACAATGTATAGGCATCTTTTTCAAAATCAATAGCAAGATTTCCGCAATGGTTTTTTTTTTTTTTGAATGAGCAACACGAACGCGGGTTGATCTACTTAACAATATAGGCAATACACCTCTCATTCCAGCACTGTTCAAATCTGCCATTAAGATATATGAAATTATTTGCCAACTTGTATAAATAACAAAATTAATAAGCTCAGTCCTTAAATATAATAAACACTAATTAAACGTCACGCAACGGAGGCCTAAACAGATTTCTCTATATTAATACGACTTTATAATAGCGCGGTTGTCAGAGATTGTCAATGGGCTAATGTTGTATGCTATACTGAATAAATAGAAAACTTGGAATAGTAGTTGAGAAAATTATAAATAATGGTAGGGATGAATTCAATCCAATTCAATTTCTGAGCCGTCGTGGGATAATATCCGCGAAACTCAATCACGGGAAGACAAAACAAACAAGAAAAATCACAAATGAGGATATATTTTGCAACCTTGGATGGGGATGTCACTCCACAAAGGCTATGCATCCTGGGGTAGGTAGAGACGTTACTCCACTATGGTCCCAATGATGGGATAGGGGCGTAATTCTTCCATTATAATACTAATGCGCTCACAACAAAGAACAACAAGTAGTACAGTTATTATATGTCCTATGACCCGAATTATCTTTATCCTATCACAAGAAATAAAAACTATAAATATCAATACAGTATTTTGATTATTTATTTGAAGACTTTTGAACAATAAACTTAAAATTGTTTGTCCAAGGTCGATTTGATGCTGTTCTTTCTTGGCCATGGCTGTTAATCCTGGCTTTAATAATAAAATCGCTCCACTTTTGCTAGTGTTTTTATTGCAATCGTAACACTGCGTCGCTACTGCGTTAACCGTTACTGTGTAGCTGTCCCAGACCGACGGAATGGGATTGAAGGATCCAAGATTCGACCAATCAGCGTCGCCGAAAGCTGTCGGCGGATGCGTGTAGCGATTTTATGGTAACAAACTTTACTTCACTTCGTGTAAACCAATCTTGTCGATTTGGCCTTAAGCCGTGGGATTGATTTCGTTTGTTCCAATAATTTTTTTTTTTCATTTTATTTCCTGGCGGTACCAGTATGTCTTTAGAAATGTAGGCCTAGTCCTGTTATTTAAATCTTGTGCTGTATTATGATCCTTGTATTTTGATATTTTATGCTCCCAATAGTTTGTCGTGTATGTTTTACGTTTGATGTTCCATATTACAGTACTTAAAATGTTGTAATTCGATTCTCACTGTTCCTATTATGTTAACTCTCGAATTTTGATTCTTGACGTTCCCTCTGTAAAGTGTTGTGTTTTCTGTATCTCTGTTCTCTATATGCCAAATCTTGTTTTCTAATGTCTCATGTTTCTGTATAATTCAAATCTTGTATGGTAGTATTCTAATTCCTTTATCAACGTTAAACACTGAGAACATTTACGTTGAGAAAGTCCTGAAGACAGGCCGAAATATTCGTGTGCAATAAAATACCTGTTCCTCAACACGTCAACCGTGTCATCTGATTTTATCAATGTCTGTTATTCTTTCTCCTGCGAACAAACGTGCTCGTAATCACATTGATGCATACACTTTATACAGTGTATGTATGTATGTGTGTGTGTATATATATATATCTGTCTCTTATACACATCTAGATGTGTATAAGAGACAGGTACGCACCCTATATATTTATAATAATGTAGTACTGTACAACGATAGGAATAAAGTTTAATAAATCAAATATATAGATTTCAAAATACACGTGGATTTACCCTCTTTACGCATACACACAGAAAACCAGCAGTGCGTTAACAAGTTCAGGTGGAGAATTCCTGCCCCTTCATATAGATTTTCAAGATTCTAGAATCAATCGTCGGCAGCACACACTTATTATTAAATGCAGATTGGGCATATATATAAATATTCATTACTATTGTAACGTGTTAACTGATAAAATTTGAATGCAAGCAAATGTAAATTATATAAGTACATTGTACAAAATAGAGAAATGGTAATGCAATATTCATTCTGTATGTTCTATTTTTAAAATGATAATTAATACAGTACTGTATATATTGATTATAATTGTAATAACATTTTATGCATAGTTTTTATTAGTGCTGTGCAAAAGCAAATTTTTAAATATTTATGTTGTACTAAGATGATCTGTTATTTTATGTATAGTTTTTATCAGTGCTCTGCAAATCATTATTTTAATATTTATGTTGTACTAAGATGATCAGTTATTTTATGTATAGTTTTTATTAGTGTTCTGCAAATCAATATTTTAATATTTATGTTGTAAAGATGATCTGTTAATTTGGAGCAATCATACCAGGGACTGCTGCATCGTTTTTGTATTTTTATGTTCGTTTTTGTAAAATTGAAATGTTGAAATAAATGATATATGATATGACATACATTTCAATTTCATCATTTTTTCCTTTTGTTAGGGAACATGTTTAGTCACGTACACATTTTAAAATGATGCAATAAAAAATAATAATTAATTACCCGTTTGGTTGCTATGACAACACAAATAAAAAAAAGTATGTATATAATTTTGTTAAAACATAGTAGACCTGTGAAAAAGACCAAACACAAAAAAAAGCCAACACTGATTAATTTCTAAAGGTAAACAAACAATTTAATATCCTCATAAACTGCCTGACAGGACTTTTTTGTCTGTTTTTTGTTTTGTACAAACGTATGTACAGTGGAAATTACCTATATTGTTTGCAATTCCAAAAACCACATTAACTTACATGTACAACGTAAAATCGTACGTACTTTACAAACGGAGCATTATACAAAAACATTCACTAGGTAAAGGTGAATTAATCACTTTCAAGTCATCTAAATACAAAGATATCAGTAACTATAACTACAGTTTCGCTTCTATTCACGGTACGATACTCCTTTATCAACAATCATTTATAAACACTTTTTTGTACATTTTAATAATCCTGTTTTCTTGAATCCAATCTTTATATCTAAGTTTTACACACTCGCTTTCACTCTCACTCATTTTAATATACAGATGGTTAAGAGATCGCCAGGAATAGCTAACGTAACAGAATCAATGTATTCCTGTGGATGAGAAAACGTGAAAATACAAACATTTTTTTACAAGTACAGTATTTATAATCATTATGTTTACTACAATCTCTAAAGATATCAAAATGAATATGATTAATAAATGAATAAAATTCATATTTAAAACAGTCACTTCAACACATGTAGAACAAGACATGATAATCATCATAATAAATATTAAAATAAAAATAACACCTATTAGTATAACATGTTTCATTAAACTACAATAACTCTTCCATAAACTCACCATTCATATTTTAAAAAAAAGAGAATACAGCACAGCCAAATTACAAAGTGCATTTAGTAACATATAAGAACAATGTTATTTATGATATGAATTTTATATTCTAATAGTATAGGTAAATAAATAAATTTATGTTTAGTTTCATATAAAATTGAACATTATGCAACATAGGTACCATAAAATGTTAAAACCCGGTCCCTACATCAGAAATTACATGAAAATTTAAATCAACAAGTAGAAATAATATGAATAATAATAAATTAATTACAATACTATTCATAGTACAATATTAACAATAAAATTTATTATTTTTTTTCCCCTAAGAGTTGTAATGCAATTATCAATGACATCAGCATTTTCAGTTTTATACATCACAGCAGAATAAAAAATCATTTGAAATTCTTGCGCTATAAAAACATACTGTATAGCGTTCATGCTTTAAGAAAACCCAGCGATGAAAGCGATTAAACCAGTTGGGCTTTTGCTTCCAGCTGCTATCCTATCAAGTTCCTGTCTATCTTAATCAGATTTACACCTCGTTAGTATGATAATATTTTGCATTACAATACAGTACTAAGCTCAGCTTCATTAATACTTATGTTATACTTCCCCCTTTTTGATTACTAACAGTCAATGATACAAAAAAAAGCTTTCCAAATCTTACTAATAGCTAACAAAATCTGAAATACATACAATTGCATGACAAAGTCTTGCTTATTATTAGTGGTTGGTTACTGTATAAATGGGTGATATTTCAAGTAGCAAATGCACAGGTCTTAAATGAAGTGGCTCATTGTCGTGAGCACTTAGACATCTTTTAAAGAAAATCGGCTGAAAAATAGGACAGTGCGGGCCAAAAAAAAGGTTCAGGGGCAGGGAATAATTACCCCTTCGGCGGTTAAAATAAATTAAAAAAGGAATAACTTTTTTATCTTAAGTCATATTTTGGTGTTTTCGAGGCCAAGGAATTGATTAGTGATATTAGAAGTAGTTTAAAAATTAATTATAATAGTCAAATTTAAAATTTTATGAATTTCTTTAGGTGTTACGACAAGAGTATAAGATAGACACTGTAGGATTAAAAACAGGTACAGTTGTGTAATTTTTTTTTTATCACTAATCATTTTAGCAATGACCATTTCCAACTGCTTAATTTACAAAACATTTTAATAAGCATTATAGGCTTATCTTACTTTTGATGACTGATAATGTAAACAATATCGACTACCATAGACATGCTATATATAACCATAGTGTTGCAACACATAGAAGGTTTATCAATAACATTAATTCCATTGGCATAAAATTTTATTTATTGTATGATGTTGGTATTAACCAAATACTGTACAACTCACTCACTGAGATCCCCAGGATTTAAGAACTTTTTTTTGTAGAATACAAGTATCAATGTATTTTAACCGCCGAAGGGGTAATTCCCCATCCCCACCCAAAATTTTGTATTTTGGCCCGCACTGTTCCATTTTCAACCGACTTTCTTCAAAAAGGTGTCAAAATGCTCAGCATATTAAACCACTTCATTTAAATATTTGAATTATCACCCATTTTTTCACCCTGTATGTACAGCCCACCAATATTATTATGTATATACCATATATTTTTATAAATCATTTGTGAGGATATAAAAGACACTATAAACATAGATACCTGTGTAAAGAAACACAGATGTTGCTCATATTTTGACATCTCAATGTATTTCTCAAATTTTGACACCTGTAATATGCAGGAAAATCTCATAAAATTTAATAACTGTTAATAAAAATAATAAATCATAAAAAAAACCACATTTATATATTATGTTTGAATTAAAGGTAATTGGAAATCAATCTCCAAGTGTGTACCTGAAGTGATTAAACTGAACACAGAAAAAAATTATCACTTTTAGGTACAAATTATATAAAATAAAAGCATAAAAGGTGTAACTAACTAAAGAAATTATATTTTATCAGTTTGTATTACACATGTCAGTATTTTTAAAAACTTAGTGAACATAATATTTCTTGGGATTTATTGTTGCTGATACCCATCTTGACAGATAATAATTTGCATAAAATTTTAACGAGTGTGTATAATTGGGAGGAGATCACAACACCATGAATCAGTAATAATGAGATTCTATTGAAATCCAATTACACACATGTAGGTTGTTTTTCTGTTTCTAATTACTAACTGTGGGGGTGAGGGTCACTGGGGTCGTGGGAATGCCTTGACGTTCCCCTTCCTCAATTCAGATGCAATGAAAAGCTAAAAATTTGATGGTATGTCTTTTATGATTGACAAATCATTTCATCTCTGGTTAAATTCTCTAACGTTCATAGAACGGTCAATGACTAATCTGATCCTGTCATACTCTACACTAATATTTATTGCTGCGTCTAATCATTAATAGATTCTTTCAATAATAACGACAATTCATCAGGTTTATTTAGGCATCTTACTGTACATTATTACCCAATTCACTGAAGAAAAATATAAAGTTTGCATGGAAAGCAGAAAGGCATGCATCAAAACACATTTGTTAAAATGCAACTACCATTACTTGACAGTATTGGATAAGCTAGTGGCATTTCTAAATTATACATTGTTCTGTACTGAGATGTTATTCAATTACTGTATGTACCATGGAGGAAGAAAATGTAGCGTAGCTAGACAAATATTACACCTGCATGTATTAAGTTTGGTACAAATTAATTGTAATTGATATTTGTTGTGGAGGTGTGACCAATCTTATAGTTTCACAGAAATTTCGTACTCAAGTTTAAACCGAGGAATTCAAATAGACAAGTTAAGCCAATCAAGATCAATAAAGATCCATAAGATAAATATGATGAACAATAATTTGATAAAACATGCAGAAAACTAGCAGAAATATGAGACTATATTCAATACAAGCTGTAATAAGTGGTACAACATAATTGATGTTATATTGAAGGTGACCTGAACATGTGAAGGAGAGATATACTTGCGTCCAATCTCATCATCAAAACTATGCTACAACGTTATGATTTAGATTGCCTAAGTTTTCCGTCAGCTAATATAATTTCCTGGATCGATAACTGTCCAACCTGTGTAACTAGTAGATAATTACATTTCTCATTTCATAAAATTTTCTAAATTCATCAGGAGGAGGGTTTTTTTTTCGGAAATGATATAGATTCGGAAATGATATAGTTGATGAGGATGAGTTGGTTGAGGAGGAATGTCAATTGCAGATGGTGAATAGGATACAAGAAAGAAACACACAATTAAAGCAGACAGTTTGGAATTAAAAGCCAACAATGTTTGTCAGTACCATGGAACCAAGGGTATGCTCTCCTACTGTTTTTTTCATTTCATCATAAAACTTGCTATCATATGGCAAACAGAAGCATTTCAATTTAGTTCTCACAAAGAAGTAATGTAGAAATATTAATAAATTACCCATTACTTCAGCAAAAATAAATTAATAAATAACTTAATTTTGCTTTTTAATGACAATCTTTAATATCAATTAATATCAAATAGATGGTTAAAATCCTTGAAATGCCAAACTATGGGTGAGCAATTTTTTTTTATAGAAACAATTTTCCACTATAATTGAAACAACAACTATAAGGTGCTTGAGTACATAATTCATGTTAATATTGAAATGGAAAATATCAGTTGTTTAGGTTAATGTTTTTTTTTTACAATTTTAGTACGATTTTACAAATTTAAAAATTCCCCAGAAATGTCTCAGAAAGCTATAAAGTTAAAGTTGATAATGCAAACATATAAATATAAACGATGCATTTTAGTATGTATCAGTTGTTGAGAATGATGTATCTGTGCATTCGGAATGATATTTCAAAAGTGAATTACCAACAACAAGAAGAGTGATCTTGAAGGATGTGTCCAAGTATAGGATTTTATCTCAATTGATTGCTTCTCAGTTTCAAAGTATTAAAGTATATGTAACATGTGCTGAAAGACAACCGGTGGGATCAGACACATATTCTGAGATCGTGCAAAAACACAGCATAAATCATTGTGAATTAATTTAAACACCTAAATGGGAAACTTTGATTAAATAAGATTACATTAATTCTGATGGATGATTTGCTATTCCCAAAAACACCAGGTGTACTCTGATTTGTATTAAACCTGATTACTGTACATTCTTCACTTGTGGCGACCACTTGTCATGAAATTGATGTTAAGTGGCTGAAGTCTCTGTCTTTTGACAGCTTATTTTCAGGAAGAATATAATTAAAATGTTCAAGAAAAATTAAATTAAGTTAGTTATTTATGAAGAGCAACTGTATTAATTAAATTGTAAAAAATAAAAGCAAGTCATTGAAAAAGAATGAACTAAAAGTTAACTGTCATTGCCTACAATGGCTACGATACATCTGATGATGATAAAGGAGAAAGAGAAACTAAGTTCGCCTATGGATTGTAGACCAATTAGCACTCTATACCTTGGGAACAGGGTTGAATTGTGTAAATGCACAGCACTGAGGAACAGAATATTAAAGTGTCATGTAACCCAATACAGTGCACACAATTCACATCACGAGCATATGTGAGCAATTACTTTACTGGCTCAACGATGTCATTATCTAGAGAATCATACATGGCAAGATAATTGCCCATATATGGCAAGATAATTGCCCATATAAAAACAGAATTTCCAAAATACCCACATGAATTGCCCATATATGGCAAAAGTTTTCCCAATATATGAAAATATACCTGCCATTATATGGCAACATAATTCACCATATAAATTAAATGTATTACCAAAACGTAAGAGTGTTTTCAAAGGTAATACAACAATGAAAACTATTTGTGGACAGTAACAATGTACTGTACTAGAAGTAATTAGTTACTAATTAGTTACTTGCAGCAACAGCTTATATAAACTCAGTACAGTATTCAAAAATAACAATAGAATTTATTTCAGTAATTATATGGACAGTGAGGAAAGAGCTGTGAACATAATTATATAATTTATTTTTATGATAGTTTACATGCTAATGCAGAAAGGAAACACTATTGACAAAGCACCATTGGCTATTTTACAGTTGCTATCATAAAAGTGACATTTAAATAATATGAATTGGTTTGCTATCAGGTTTATTGTGTCTTTACTAACTGACTCTTGATGAGGAAGCCCTCATCACCTGTTACCATCCCCTTCAAAGAGTGTTTATCCAACCTCATTATACACATCAAAAGCTGTTCATCAGGCCAAGATTCTAATAGCTTCCTAAGAGTATCTTGAGGGAATAAGATTACCATAGAAAGGAAACATAACACTGCAGGCAGGTGTTATGTTGTCTATTATGTTTATCATTTTCACTAAGGGTATTAATAAGACTATTTAAAAAAAAAGAAAAGAAAAGTGTTGTTTAGTGTCTTCTGACTGAATTTATTATTTTTTTAAAATTTTGAATAAAAATGATAATTAGCAATATCCCACAAAAATATCTTATGAATTGTAATAAAAAAATTTGAATAGAAGCATGTCCCTGTTTCAGTTTGTCCAATTATGAGTGGGGAAAATGTTAAGTGTTGCTTGTTTGTTTCTCAAGAACAACGACCTACAAACACAATTTGAAACAGTGACGCACCAAAAACTCCAAAACAGAAATAATATGCAGTTTAATATAATATATATTTAGACAAACATGGTTTGCATGGTTTTGTACAGGCAAACATGGTTTTGTACAGACATAATGTTTTGTATAGACAAAAACCTGGTTTTGTCTTTTACAGAACATGTTTTGTACAGACAAACATAGTTTTGTCTATTACAAAACATGTTTTGTTCAGACACAAATGGTTTTGTCTTTTACAAAACATTTTTTGTGTAGACAAGCATGGTTTTGTCTTTTACAATAACTTTTGTCTATTACAAAACATGATTTGTCACTTACAAATGGTTTTATATGACATTTGGCGCCACATACATAACATCACAGATCAGAATCAACTGTCACTGATTACATTTGAAATCTTAAGTTTTGGTATTTGAAATTTATCTTTTCAGAATGTTAACATTTTCAGAATTGGATATGATATTTTATTTTAAATATATTTCTGGGGGTGGTCATCCTGACATTTGGAGGGAGTTGAAGGGAATAAAAAAAAAAATCACATTAAATATTTACCCACTACACAATGGTACTTAATATGTGAAATCAAATAACAAATTTATAATAATATGAACAAAATAAAAATTAACAAATTGCCAAAAATATAAATTTATTCTGACATTTGGTGATAGTTAATATGAAAGATGTCAAAATTATTGAGCAACGTCAGCATGAAATTCAATACACAGACTGACTTTCATATCTTGCTTGATGTGCGATAAAACAATGAAAAAATAGAACTGCAGTTGAAATGTGATTGCTTAAAACCAAGATAATTAGCAATACATCTAAAACATTATACTGAAATAGTTTATAATGTTGAAGAATCAGTGGTAATGTTTAAATATATGTAAAAATAGCACAATATTCTATAAAATCAATTTAATCAAGTAAAATATCAGATGTTCTCTGGTAGACATCTTGTACAGGGACATGTTCCCTTTTTTCCTACCAGACTCATTATGTTTTGAGTGAAATAAAATTATGAATTATGAAAATAAACATGTAAAAATGGCAGTTAGTAATCATTAATATCCGTTGGGGGAAGTATCCAAGTTAAACTAAATTACTGTAAATCAGATGTTATTTGATTCTTTAGATTTTTAATAAAATTGTTACATTTACGACAATCCATTGAAAACTGTACCTCAATATCGAAACTGGAGAGTGCAACTTAATTGAAGAGTGTCATTCAATTGTTGAGTGTCACTCACCTATAGAGTGTACCTTATTGCTTATCATAAAACTTGCCAGTACTAACCTAGCCAGGCCAGAGACATCCAGTATGCATGTGTAAATGCCTTGATATGCTGTCATCCACAGATCAGCACAAGGCATCCACAGCTTGTTGTAAGGCACCTACAACTTGCGGTGTTAAAAAATGATGGTAACCTACATGGCACACAGGTCACTGGATCAGCAACACCAGATGATCACTTTCTTCAGTAAGACCAGATGATCAATGTCTTCAGTATCACTAGATGATCATTGTCCTCATCTTTAGTCATCCATCAGCATTTTACCCGTTTTCTTTTCTACCTCCTCCACCTTTACGCCATGAAATCTGGATCATCTGACTCATCATCCTCATCATCTTCTTCTTCATCACTCTCATCATACGAATAGTGCAAATGTTAAGGACAAAATGTTTAATTCTAAATACTATAATAAATTATTGAATTATAATAAGCAATATCATTTATTTTTTGTGTCTACTACCTATGCAGGAATTATGGGATACCATCTCATAAGGTAAAGATAGAAATTAACTCTCCCCAATGTAAATAGTCTCCACATAGAAAGAACTCCAAAATTACTGTCAAGCAGTACTCATATGCTCCCACTGGCATCCTAATAATAAAACCCCAGGAACACATGTAAATTATACACTGTCCGAAAGCTCGTTTGATAATAAGCACTTATGATTAATGGCATTGGAACTCAATATCATGAAGGAAATCCCCACAGGCAAATATTTACGAAAAGATGTAGAGTTATGGACTAAATATTAAACGCCTTAAGACTAAGAGCCCAATTATACTTATTATGGCCCTGAGCCACCTTCACTACAGCCGACTCAAAAAGACTTTTCCCTTTTGGATTTTGCGTGAAATGAACATTATGGTATAAGATGTCAAAAGTGGCCGCTTTCATAGCAACCCTGGCGACCCAAGTTCAGATTATCTTCAGATATGAAGATGAGTCGACCCAGGTCCGCATTGCAGGACCAGAGTCGACTTTAAAGTTGGACTAAATTCAGGTCAGCTTTGGGCTTTTCTGATTGTTCATACTCTAAAAATGGTGGCCCTGAGCACACATAACTATTAAGTGTGATTGGGCTCTAATTTGGCCAAATTTCATGGACTTTAGGTAGAATATTTCAACGCTATCGCATCTTCTTTTACAACCTACCACGTTTAACCTATCAACCTTGAACTTGAACTCCTACCAATCCCTTGAAAATATCATAGATTCACAATATATTCGCATGTTTGTACTACTGTATATTTGCATGTTTTTCATACTGTATTATCAATTTTCTCCCGAAGTGAGAGCCAATGACTATCACCATACGCAGCCAAATAAAATTAAATGCGTTGAGGGTAGCTCATTTAAACAGATCTCCCGGATGTGGCTTTTTCTAACTTGGGACCCCTAAGTGAGGAAGCTTAATAAAAAATAAGTAAATAAAAATTTCAAGTAAATCTAATTATTTTTATTAATTATTATTATTATAAGGATATTTTTTTCTTCCTTTTCTTTGGTCTCTGTGGGGTTTTCTTGACACTCTTTGTCGGTACACTTCTACTCTGGCTCTTCCCTCTTTTTGAATTTCTTGATCTTGATGTATTAGCCTGCAAATAATAACAATATTAATTAAAAAAAAGTATGATTTATTGCCGACAGTCAAAGGTGTTTCTTTTTAGGTTTACACAATAAAGTATTGCTTTTATTGATTCAATTTCATATATCCAGTTATTTTCATTCTAATATATATAATGGGTGATAACACAGATGATTAACTCAAGGTGAAGAGAGGCAAACAATGGGATGGGTCTTATGCAAGGACACAAAACCTGCACAGTGTGTGGGGTTTTTGACCCCAAGGTCAATAAGCATGGTGCCAACTGCTCTATGAATAACCCAAAAGCAATAATGTAGAAGTATTGATTTTACTGCACTGTCAATTAAAACACAGTCGCCAATGTGCTACTATCCACTTTATTATCAAATGTCAATTTAAAAATGTCAAAATTAAATGTATGAGTTTATTACAATGCTGTCAAGCCAATAAATAATTCATAATCACTTGACAAAAATGATGAGAGATGTGAAATTAATTTCCTTGCCTAGATATATACACAAACAAAATAAAGGCACATGCTATGGAATCACTCATTTATAATTTAACTTTGTCGCGCTTCATTAAGTGACTACCTCAAATTATCAAGGAACAAACAATTCCCTAGGTGGTGGTCATTATTTTAAGTTATCTTTTAATATTAAAATGTGTACTACTAAGCACATATTGTTAAATTGTTGTCAGAGCTTTTACGTATATCGGGCGCACCTAGTTATGAGATAAGTAGGACAAAGTACTTGAAATATTATATGTGTACAAAGATGTTATTTCATCCGACAGAAAAAGAATAAAGATTTTATTTTACCTGTTCTGTGGCAGGTGTATGCGACCTAAGCCCATGAGTGCTGCTTCCTAATGATTCAGCACCATCCCTTGATTTATTGTCGTCTGCAGGGACCACTGCCCCAGAACTTTGTTCTGGTGCTGGCTCACCAGTTTCAGCATCGCTTGAACCTTCTATTTTGGTTTCTCCTCCTGATTGGTTGGCAGTGGCAGAGGGCGGTGTTTTGTCCTGCTTGGGTGCAGGCCGTTCTTCTTCCTCATCCTCATCGTCATCAGGATCTACTAATTCCATCAGCTGCTTAAACTGCAAAGTAACAAACCAATCAAATTACTTTCAAAATATAGGTAATTAAAATTACTTTTAATATTAAGAAATGCATAGCAAGGCAGATTAAAAATACTAGCATCATGATTTAATTAATTTTATAGAATTCCTTTTTAAAATAATCTCTCAGAAGATAACCTCATCTTTCACTGTGTGTTGAATATAAAAATCTAGACATTCCAACCTTGATGATGTTAGAATATGCAATTCACTTGTAAAACAGTTTTAATATTACAATTTTTTTGTGAAAAAATGTTGAGGTTGTCCTTCTACACTCACATCAAGGTACTCCTCAACAAAGTCTCGTTTGGCCTGGTCACTGAGGGGCAACTCCGGCATGCCTAGTTTCAGAATCTCCAAAGCCCTAATGGGGTTGAAGACTACTCCTTGTTTGCGACTAAGTGATTTATCATAAACCTTCGCTGATTCTGTTGGTGAATACCGATGAATTGTGCTGAAGAGAAAAGAAATATTGTTACTAGATTTATTTATTTATTTGATGCTTTTTTAGGTATTGTATTTTTTTTATTTATTACTGTATCTTTTTCATTATTGTTATTTTCTTTGTTATTGTTATACAATTTATATTGTTTTCTAAATTATAATTTTATGTTATTAATTCTTTTTCAAGGGTGTCAGCTTAAAAGCATTGCTTTATTTGAGTTCCCTTTTCCATTTTTCCATCAATCTGGAATCAGAAATGTATATTTTGTTTGTTTTATTATGAAATGAAGTTTACTTACTTGCATACTAACATTGAAAGATAAAAACAATAACAATACCTTTAACAAAAATAATATAGTGATTTATAATGCGCTTTTTGTCGGGGAAGCAGCTGCTGGGTGTTGCAGTCGTACTTGCAATTTAATGCAAAGACTAATCATTCATTCAATGTTAAATCACCCTACAAGGTACCCACTTATACTCCTGAGTAAGAGAGAGAGACAAACGAAGGTGAAGTGTCTTGCCCAAAGACACAGCGAAGGTTCAAATATCCGACCTCAAGGTTGACAGACTGCAACGCCGCTACCGCATCGACCACTCCCCGAAAGGTCCTTTATATTTCTCTTAACAGCTGCCTCCCAAATAATATATTTTAACTTTAAATTTTGACACTCACGGTTATTGATAGAATCATCATCATTATCAAGAATAATAGTTACTTTTCTGTAAACCAATCTTGACAAGAATCATCAAAGCAATACTTACTTATCCCTAAAACCAAAGAGGTCTTTGAGATGTTGCTTGAGTACCAAGAGTAAGATGATGCCTTGAGCTGTTTGGCAGCACTCTATCAGTTGCGTTGGGTCCTCAGGAATGTGTTCTACAAAATCAAAAATAAATCAAATTTTAAATTCATCCCTTCTTTCGTAGTATTCTTTCATACATTTACCTACCTTTTTTTAAATTCAATTCAAAATTTATTTCATCTCACCAAAGCACTTTTTTTGATAAAAACACAAACCTAAAAATATGCATACAAAACAAAGTACATTTTACACTTCATATTATATTCATACTATGTACAAAACTATATTTTAATTACCCTGGCCTTTCACTTTTTTACGTTTTTAAACTTATATTTTTATATTATATCTAATCATGTAGTTAAGTTTAAGTTTTCTGGGAATTCACATTTATGTCATGGTGACTGTTGCTTTTAGTGCCTCAAGGCACTTTGTCTGAATAAATAAATGAAATGAAATATACAAATAACAGATAGTAATTAACCCAAAATAAAATTATGAACGACAACATTTATAAATCAGGGTCGATTGCGTTAATTCTTTCACTCAAGTTGGGCATAGGCCTTAATTCTCTAATTTAGGCCTTAATTCTCTAATTTGTAAAGTCTGCTGGCAAAAACATTACTTACTACATGCATTTTGGTTTGTAAATGGCATGGTTAAAACTAATGACTAAAATATTTTTAAAAATTCACTAAAGCTTAAACAGTAGCCTTTTAAACACCATACATGTATTTTGTCCTTCTCTTTGGTTAAAAAAAAGCTAAAGCCCTTGATTATTTTTTAGATTTCTGATTGGCCAAACTTGGAAACAACTAGATTTTGTATGCATTATATCAAATAAAATTTTCACATACACCTAAAAATTACATTAGTGTCACATCCATCATTTAGTGCTCTGACAAGATGAATAGCAAATGATAGTGAATTTCTGTAAATGATAAACGCTTCTCTTGATTGCCTTGGAAGCCCATAGGCTTAATGTTGTGTTATATGCTTTCTATTATAAATTTATATACAAAACTTTTACAAAATATTGATAGCCACTATATATCATATTTTTTTCTCATATACTATAAGAAGTTTGGTTTTTTTTATAGCAATCAACTAAAAGCCTTGACAGGGTGAACAGTAAATGATAGAGAATTACAGTAAATGATTGAAAGAGAGCTTCTCCTAATTAAGCAATGTTCCTGAATATAGGCTGCACATTTTTTATTTTTTTTTTGGCTATTGAAATAGATGTTTGATATGCATCAAAGGGCTTATTCATATGCATACAAATTGCAGAAGCTAGAACCTGTGAAGCAGTAGCTTTCCACAATGAAGTTTGCTCCTAAACGGAAGAAGACATATATTGGAAATTATTTGATCATAATGGCAGATTCAAATAATTCTCGGGTATACAAGATGGCTATTCACTGCTATGAGCCCATTGACCAACAATCTAACACAGGATGGGTACCACCTGCCAATATACTGCTAACATACATTGTAACATAAATATATAAAAGTACAATTATAATGTAAAAGCTAAGAATGTTATTATTACCTATTAGTACGTCTACATCCTCCTCAGCATCTTCCTCATAGAAGTCCCGCGTTGTTTCAGGCTTGGGCTTTTCTGGAGACTTGTGATCCGTATTTGTTGGAGATCCTGCTGTATTCGATGGGGATGGCGGTTGAGATGTGGATTTTGCTATTTGTGGGTAGAAAACCTAATAAAAAAAAAGAAATCAATGGTAAAAAAACAAATTTTGGATGCTAGTGGAGCTGCAAATATGATATGAAGGCAAAAAAAAAAAAAAAGATTGTGTTGGCCACGTTTTGGAAAAACCCAAAAATGGGTAGGTAGGTTGGTAGGAAAGGATTTTTTGTTAGCAATAATGTGTTGATGCCTAGAAGCTAGAAAATACACAAAAATACAACAAAGACCATTTTAAAATCTATGTTGAAGAGCAAAAATGATCGCATAACACTGTCGCACTGCCTACCGTCCAGCAAGATGGGCCTATTCAGCTAATTAAAACAATATATTGTTCGGTGTAGTAAAAAAAACAAAACAAAAAAAAACAACAAAAAAACACTAATATGCTGAGCCTTAACCTGTGGCCAAAACCAATAATTTGTTTTATTTGGCCTAATAAAAGCAACTTGAAACTTACATTGAGAGTAGGCCAATCAATACACAGTACCAACACTATAGTCATTATATTTATCAATAGCATTCTATATGATTGATACTAACAGATTATTCATAATATCTATTAAATCAAATTCATATTCATTGCAGTGAGGCTAGAATATTATTCAATCAGCCTCAAGATGTCTTATCATTTCTTGTATGACATATATTTTAGTCATCAGAAAAATTGCAGGATGTAAAAGGACTGAACCATGACCTCTAGAATTGGTAGACAAACACCACCACCACACCACATGATACAATATATTACTTTATTGTCATTCACTCAATATGGTACAAATTAAATTTAGATGATTGACAAACGAAAACAATAATAATAATATATATCTGAATATCTCTAGTCTTACCTCTTTGAAAGACTGTAGTAGATTTCCGCCTGATACAGAGACGATAAGTTCTATGTGGTGCATAATAAACAACGGTTCATCTTGGGTTTGGTATGGGAAATATGATAGATTGTCTGCCACAAATACTAAAGTTTCCAAATCTGTTCTCTGAAACACAATGAATACAAACATGATCATAAAGAGGAAATAATAATACTGTAGCAGTAAAAGCACACACGACCTAGGCTGACCATTGGGGGAAACAATTGAGACAACTGCGCTACATATTTTACTGAAAATTCTTATGGACTTGAACTACCATTTACCAAAATCGCACTGTGCTCTAAAAGACGACAGGAAAAATGCCAATCAATAGTGCCAGAGAGGGCGCAATATTGACTGATTCCCGATGGCAAAAAGTTTGGTCGCGATCTTGTGGCTGTACCAAAGGTAGGCGTAGCAAAGGAGCTTACCGGCTTAGCACCCAGTTTAGCTTGAAATTCCTGCTAACATTGTGTGGAAAATCGTGTCACCTTGACACAGGATAGGCCAGGGTCTTTAACTATATATTTCAAACTGGATATTTCCCACACTTGTGCTACAAAGTCCTTGCAAGTATACACCCATAAATGCTGCAACTCCCCCCATATTTCCCACACTTGTGCTACCCCGTATAGAAATATTTAAGAGTGAGCCCCCCGGGCCTAACACATTAATCAATGTACAGTAAACAAACCTTCCACCTTTTTCTTTGTTTTCATCAAACAAATGCATTTTGTAAGATAAGAAGTTCAGCTGATCCAGCTAAGCACCTTTAAGAATTCGAACTGAACCTTCAGATTATTTGTTACTGAAAAAAATTAAACTAGTAGATCAAACTTACTGCACTGTCATCATACAAATGCAGTAGTGATAGTAGCAAAGCCCTTCTATGCTGCCGATGACTCCTAATCATGGAGTAGAGATGCGTGCAGTGGCTGACCATATTTTCCTGTACACGCATCCCACGTAGAGGCTCCTTCTTGCACCCATTCAGTAGCTTTTGTAGCCTAAATGCTGTCCTGATACCAGCTATTGCTTTCATCTGTCAAATCATCCAAGACAATCATTTCAAAATGTTATAATACAAAACCAAATGAGCAAAAAGTTATGTAAAAATATATTTTGCCAGTAATTTAAATTTATGCAAATGATAAGACAAACTGGTCTATTCAAGAACAAACAAAATTTCGACAATATATAAGTATTATATTCACTGGTGGCTTTCTGAAAATTAAGATCTAAATTGGTTAAAACGTGACTACAACTTTTAATATATTACAAGTATATATAAATAATATACAATTAGTACTGACATGTATGAAGCCAGGGTAGCGGCTGTCTATATCTGATAACTGTTGGTCTGCCTTGATGCGTATGGAAGCCTCCGAATCACTACCGGAACACACCAAATACGGCACACACTAAGTAAATAAATAAAAAAAGACAGGAAATAATAGAATACACAGACCAAGTGCATCATGCCAATAAAGAAAGTGTTTTGTTGTACAGGCTAAGAATGTATTGTATTAGTAAACATACTGAACATGTGCAGAATAAGCATGACACACACCATATCAATAACCCAGAATTTCATACTGGGCATGCATATTCTAAGGATAGGGTGTAGGTCAATTTTATACACTACAACCATTTCACTGTTAATTAGGCAAACACCTTTACATTTTCTAATAACACTGCAAATAAGTGGAGGATTCAAGGGCGGGGGGATCTAGTTCTCGGAAATGACTTCTTCCAGCTTGGGTCCCCTGCATGTAAAGATCATGTATGGCATGCATGATGTCAAAAAAGGTTTGGGAATGGATTTGAGACAGCGTATAGTAGCTAAAGCTACTAGCATTTGTATCTTTGTTAATTCTTAGCTTATAAAAGGTAAATGGTGTCAATGAAGAACAGAACTGTAATCACAAATTTACACATCATTCACTGCATTTATAAAAAAAAAAAAATTTGAATGGATTCTAAATTTAACATACCTGCACCGGATGTACAAGGCCTTGTTTAAGGGTAAGTACAACCACATGTAATGCAGACATCCTTATAACAGACTGCGGGTGTAACATCATCTCCATTACATGCTTCAAGTAGATCTGCATAACTGAACTACTCATTCTATTGGAAAAATACAAAGAAAAAAAAAAACACATTTTTGTCAAACTATAAGCATTTAGAAATTCTAAAAATAAATTATTCACACTAAAAAATGATATTCATATTTCAAATATTGCAATCACTATGAGACATGCTTTATCAATTTAACCCGACACAGTAATTTTGGCAAAACATATTTAAGAGTTGAGATAAAAGATGATTTGGTGGATGCTGACAGCAATGTAGTACAGTTAAACTTGCCTAAGTCGACTGTGCCTTGAAGGGAGGGGCTGGTAAGTATTGCTCATTTCTTCCAAATACAAATTACAGTTAAGCTAAACTTGCCTAAGTTCATTGTGCCTAATAGTCGATATTATTTTACATGCCAAATTGTTGTGTTTTCCATTAATTAACAATCTGTAAGTCAAATTTTATCTAAGACGAACAATATTTCAATGGCACTTTGGATTTGACTTAGGCAAGTTCAACTGTAGGCTTTAGGAATTCAATAGATAGGTCAGGTCGAGGCTGACGCTTGTCACAGTCCTTGACCTTGGGTATGACGCAGTTATTAAGGAGCTGTGAAAGTTGCACATTGCGCACCATTTCTGCATCAAATGACCAGGGCGAAAAAAAAATCATATTAAAAAGGAAAAGCTATATAAAAATTCTTAAAAAATGGATTAAAATATATATGAGGAATTTTGATGAAAGGAACTCAAATTAATGTCTTACCCTGATTGTACATCACCCATTTCTTTTAGATCTTCTTTCTGTCCTGATTTCTTCCCTAAAATTAGATTAGAACATAAGCACATTAGATATAATAGTCAATTAGTAATAATAATGATATGCAAGTCTTAGTGTGTCAATGTAACTGTTGTTAAGTGTTCCTTTTTACTAAGAACTTGATCCCAGCATTATATATTCAAGAGAGGCGCTTATTCGTGAGCGCCATTTACGTAATCATTTATGAGAGATAAATCAGTCAGTTAAACATTACTAGGTGAGCGAATTAGAAACAAGTAAACAATTAAGATGTCAAAACTGCTTACATTCAACATCAGCCTTCCTCATTTTGTCATCTTCCTCCGATAAATAATTTTGCAAGTTTTTAAGAACTTGACATAGTAGACGATGTAAATTCTCAGTTTTGCTTTCTAAGAACTGCCAGTAGAGGGTCTTCACCTGCGTACCAAGCATGAACTCAGCATGTCTATTGCACAGAAATCCAAGGCCTGACAAAGCCTTCAGTCGAATATCCTCATCATCACGGTTACAGAAAAAATACAAAGTATCAAACACACGTTGACTTACTGGAACCTACAAGAAAAATAAATTATATTAAGTTATAAAATAATTATAATACATTATAATTTTTTAATACAATTTATAAATGAAATGAAATTGTTGATTTTAATATTGTTTCTCTTACCTTTCCTACTGTCTTTGTACCAGCATCAAAATCAAAGTGTTTACAGAAGAGACCAACCGTGAAGAGAGCTCTAAGTAAACGAGGTTTTCCCCTTATTAAGGCGGGATTGTCTGGGAATTCCTCGTATTCTGTCTTGTATTTTGTTAATATACCTAAAAATAAGTAAAATAGATTTTTAATAGAGTTTTAACAGATTTTCAATAGAGTTTTAATAGACATATTTATAGTGGGCTTCTATAGCTACGTTATTAACTAATTAAATTTTATTAGCATAACATAGACCAGTCATCTTCTATTCTAGAATAATATGGTCTTCAAAACTTCACCACATTCTTGAATGGAAACCTATATCATATAACATTCAAGCTTTATCTAGCACAGCACTTGCTCTAGTAAATGTGGATAGTGGACATAATATCTGGATGAATATCTGAAACAAAGTTGAAACACATAATAATTTAAAGTGAAAACAAAGTCTACTTACAATATATATTCTGGAAGCAATCTCGGACAAGTTTGTAGTTGTGTGTTACCTCGTTGACCACAGCTGCCAGGCAGCTGACACAGCTCTGTAGCACCATCTGACCGTGCCTGATGATCAGTCTCATCATGTCTTCTTCCAGGCTAGATAGGAACATCTCACTTGGATGATCCATCAGGGGTACCACTAATTCCAAGATACGTGCTACGTTATGCACAACTAGGAAATCCCCTTGAGTCTAAAAATAGTAATAGGACAAGTATAAGTGCTGATGCATCATGGGACATAGGGTTCATGCTTTGCTCGGCCTGTTTTGTTATGTTCTATACTAAACCCAGAATTGAATTAAACATGCAACATATGGTGCTAGTACAGGCTTAGCAATACATGGTTCTGTATCAATATTATGAAACTTTGTTGATGAAATAGACTTACACTGCATTTGGTGCTGAGGTAGGGCTGTAAGGTTGTTGCATGGGCTACCATTAACTCTGGCTTGACTTTACTGAAGAGGTAGAGGGTCTGTAAACAGGAGACTAGCTGGAGACTGCTTACTTTTCCCTCAGCCGATATTTCTGTGCATAAAAAAATAGAAATTGTTATCACAGTCACACCAAACCTTAACAGCAAGCGAGTAGTATACCTAGATTGTGATGATACTCATGAAGATGATAAAGAAATGTTATGATGATACTAATGATAGTAATTATGAAAAATATAATATTTTTAATTTGGAAACAAGATCAATTTATTAAACAATAATGACGATGATGACAATAACAATGAACATGTTAATGATGATGTGGGTGTTGAGGATGAATATCACCTCACCTATCCTCCTTGTGCCATGAGGCTAAATATGAGCAAATAATAGTTGACTTAAGGTCCCAATATCAACGTTGGCCTTCAAAGCAGATAATCTTACCTATTGCCTTTTCTTCTAACCGTAAAACATGTTCAACTAAACAATCAACAATTTGAACACAAGCTTTCTGTACAGGTTTAGTTTTCTGTTCTTCTTCTTCTTTCAGTAACTAAACATAAGGAAAAATAAATTTAATAAAGAAAAAAGAAAAAACAATGTAATGAAAAGAGCTGGGAGTGGCAGCTTGGTGGTAGATATTCATGCCTAGCAATCCCAAGTTCCTGGGTTCAATTTTTTCACAGATCACTAATATACTCATAATGAATTCTACTCTAATTGTAACCATACAAATTCAATGGAAAGTATCTGGTCAGACTTTGAATAGTGAGCATGCTTCAAAGAAATGGGATCAAAATTGTGTGACTTGCCATAACTTAAGTTTGACACTGTTCTACTCCATGAAAGTTTGATCAAACATAAGGTGTTACAAATGACACAAAAATCACATTCTTCATGGCCACCTTGTCTCATAATGGGACAAGTTACCAGAATAAATCACAGGGCAATATCACAAGTTTTGTACATTATACAAATATCTCTTTTTTCCCCTTTTGATTCAAATTGTTCTTAATGGTTTAACAAAATCACAAAATTAATCCAGGATATTTTGTCCTTAAACACAAATATAATTTGTAGTGTCTAAAATATATCTTTTGGTGGGCTATTTACATTGTGTTGGAAAAAAAAACACAGCAATATCATAAAACATTACTTTCTTTCCCTTTTGATTTAAATGTTGAAAAAAAAATAACAAAATTAATCCATATTTTTTATTAAATAGAACAAAATAATTATGAATGTCATAAGTAGTTTGTACAGTCTAAAATAAAAAATATTCTATCTTTCGATTGGTTACTTACATTATGCAGAAGTTGTTCTAACCAATCATAACCAGTGTCTTTACAAGCCGCTACAACCTCTATGATGTTATGCGCCCTCTTTAGTAGTAAATCTGGTTCCGATACAGGAAGAGGGGTGAACCACATACTTTGGAATGTTTCATTGACTAGTTTCTACAGGAGAGAAGAAAAGATTAATAACATTTCAAATTTGTTCCGAATTATTGTAAATCTAAACAGACAGTAAATTTGATAATTGGTACCTACAGATATAATAAAAAAATATTACAAAAATTTACAGGAAAATACACATTGTTAAAATTACAACATTATTAAGTTACAATATACAGATTTAACAACACTAAAATCAATGAAATATATAAGAACAATAAATATCACTAAATTTGATAATTGGTACTCCCAGATATAATACAAAACTATTAGAAATTTACAGGAAAATACACATAGTAAAAATTACAACATTATTAAGTTACAATTTACAGAATAAACAACACTAAAATCAATGGAATATTTTTTTTCTCTTTCGTGGCATAACCACCACCTTTATTCAAAGAATCTTCATTAAAAAAAGTACAGTACAATATTTCTTTCTATTATATTATAAAGTTGTTTTTTTCTCCAATCAATGGAATATATAAGAACAATAAATATCACTAAAAGATTTTAGAAAATTACTCTCAACTTTTGATGCAAATCATAAACTGTTCTTTTTTGTTGTCTACAATCAGTGGGTTGTACTCTTGTTGAAAGTGTTGTTACATTATGTAATGTATTTACCTTGATGCCTTCCTCATCATTCACTCTCCTTATGATCTTCACGCAAATCTCCACCACTTTGGGAAAGTCTGGCATCTCCAAGCAAATATCACGGAGAATCTTTATCACTCTCTTCCTTACACTTATACCGGTGTCCTATAAAATCAAGAATTGCTGTCAATCAAAACGATGGAATTATTCATGATATAATAAATCTAAGATGAATTTATTAAAAGAAAAGGGTTGTATAATTAATTGCTTAGTTGTGTATGTGTCATGAAGAAATATAAATGAAGAGACTAAATGTTCTTGAAATGTAGAGCTTACGTTAGATTATTAGATGCAACATTTACTCAAAGGAAGTGTTGAAAAGCATATACTGTATATTCAAACAATATTCAGGAAGAAAATAAGGAAGGGACTGACAAGGTAAAATAGAATACAGTTAAATAAAAAGATTGGCTGACATCCATAAGCATTAACTATTCATGACACTTTTTGACGATGAATGATAATGCACCACGCTAATGAATAAAACTAGGATGAAACAGCAGACTTATAATTCATGTTGTAAGATGCTTGGGTTGTCAGACATCACACAAAATGTGTCCAGTCATTGACATAATAATGCTGTACAAAATGTGCTCAAACTTTGCATGCAGTCTGATAGATATGATGCCTAGCTATAACTGTTTCTATATAGAGATTCTTTCAGTGAGCATAGGGTAATACTCATCAGCAAGGTCTGGTTTCAAATAGATAAAGCAACTGAGATATGATGTCCAACTCTCTGTTACTATGTACTTACTAAGATTCTCTCAATGAGCATAGGGTAATACTGATCAGCAAGGTCTGGTTTGAGGTGGATAAAGCGACCAACAAGATCCACCGCTGCCTCGCGCACACTTGTTGAATGGTCCATGAAACGACAATGAACTCCCTTTTCAACATCACTCTGGAAATAAAACAAAAAAAAATGTTTTTGATTGAAATGATTTTTAGTTAATCACACACTTTAATGAATCAAAACACCAAACAGATTGCTTGATTTCATTTAAAACAATGTAAAATATTGTTCAATGATATTTAACATATTGCACAAGAGAAAATTAAGTTACAAAACTTTGTTCAGTGGCATAAAGCAATATACTACTTTTGAATATTGCAATCATTATCAGCAACGTCACATCCTCAGATCAACAAGAATACCCATATCTTTACCCTCCGAAAGCTCTATCACCTCCTCAGTATTTTTGTACATTCGAGATATGTGTGTTATGTGGATTCAACTTACCCGCTTTAGGATGTCTGGATCAGCCTCGACCACAGCTGCTAAGCACTTCATTGCTTTTGTCCTAATTGCAACGGCAGTTTCATTTAGAACTCGCAGAATCTACCAAAAGAAATAAACAAACATTGTTACTGCTATGTATACTACATCTACAATAGTATATTTTTTTTATATTAAGAGGATGCATTATATTAAGATCCTATGGCTAGATCTGGCAACGGGACATTTAGGATAGGAAAACATTAATAAGAGAATTAGAAGTCTGGAGATTACGATAAGGATAGAAGCAAGATAGGAGAGAATTCCAAAGATGGTCAGTTCTAACCAATGTATACAAAATACAATGCAGACATTTTATAGTACCACTGCAGACACATATAATAGTATTTATTTATATTACACTTGCAGTGTTTTCTATAGTGCAACAATTTAAAAAAATACATTTAAAATGGTAAAAAAATGTAAATTTTAATTCTTAAAAAAATATTTATCAAATACAATTAGTAATAAAACTCCACAAATCTTCTACAGGCTTGTAAATATTTATAAAATTCCAATGTACATTTATGGTTATATATCTATGATGTATACGGACCTGTGACAGGTAAATGTCAAAACTCTGTGAGAATGGCCGAGCTGCAGCAAGGTACCTCACCACCAGTCCTGCACTGCTGTACGTTAAATTGGATGGTTTACGTCTGTAATAGAAGCAAATTTCAAAGATCACAAACATGCAGCATTTAATAACAGATAATGTTCGTTCAGACAGACTATCTGTTTGAAGTGGGGCAATATCTATTTCATTGAAGTTTGACCAAACATTGTTGAGACAGACAAAAATCTAATAGTATACCCAGTATAAATATACAAGTTTAATTATCATCATCATTAACAATCATAACAACAAAACTAACAACAACAGCCTCAACTGCAGCAAGAACAGTAACAGGAGTGGAGTTGAATAGCTTAGCAGTTAAGATGCTTGCTTTCTAATCCCAGGGTCCTGGGTTCAATTCCTGTAACAGCAGGACTTTTTCTCACGACTTTACTGATAAAACAGTATTTAATAAAAGGGTCCTGAATATCAGCTGAACTCACAGGTTAAAAATAAATCACAACACACCAGCAACAACAACAGACCAACAGCAGCAGCAACATCAACAGAACAACAGCGGCAAACAGTAGCAACAACAGTAACATCAACAATAGCAGAAACAACCGTAACAACTGCAGCAACATCAAAAAGAACTTGGATAAACCTACTTTATGCTTAGGGGTCTCAAATCAACATCAACAGATGACTGCAGGAAATCTTTCCTTCTTTCTGCAGCTTCGAGTAACTTGGAAGTCTTCTCTGCTTCTGATTCATCCTCGTTCTCTTCATTTTCTTCTTTACTTTCTTCCTGTCGCTTTACTATTTTCTCTACTTCTGCATTGATATCTCTCACCCACTGTGCTATATAAAATTGCCTTGCAAACTGTAAGATTTAAACCAGAATGTTTGAGAATACGTAAACCAGCATATGTTTTCAATTATATTTATAGAATAATATGCTCTTACTGTTTCAGCTAGAGGGCTGAAAAGCAAGATACAACAGCACACCGTCTTTTGGACTTTAAGGCAGTTGGTCCTACGTGCAAAATGGCCCATGAGCCCAATAAAGAATACCGTATACTCTATGGAAAAGTGTAGGGTACACTTTTTTTGGTGTACTACCCAAGAGAAACACAAAGGAAATTCGAAGCACAAACATTTACTGCTTTTTCCATACATTCTATAAGAACTAAAGCCATCAATGTAGGATTAAAAGCCAAAAATATTATCACTTGGCCAGAGATTAACTTCTTGTCAATGTAAATATTACAAGATTACCAAATGACTTACTAATACTGAGGGATCTGAATGTCCGTTATGTGCTAAATAATCCAACATTGCTTTTTGCAACGCTTGGCTCCGATGAGATTTTATTTCGTTTTCACTCTTATTCTGATCTTCCTCTTCATCTTCATCATCGCTGTCCAAACAGCGATTTCCTCTCCTTCTTCTCCTTATACTAGATTCTTTGGTTGATATTTTGACCTGGAATTTATGACGATACATATAATGAAGTAAGTACATGAAATAAATGAAAGTTCAAAAATCACGAATAAATAACAATAATAAGGTGATACATAGAATGAAATAAATGACCACTTAAAAATCACATCATTAAATAATAATAATAAATGTGCACTTATGTAGCGAATAAATAACAATAATGAAGGTGATACATAGAATAAAATAAATGGACACTTAAAAATCACATCAGTAAATAATAATAATAAATGTGCACTTATGTAGCGAATAAATAACAATAATGAAGGTGATACATAGAATAAAATAAATGGACACTTAAAAATCACATCATTAAATAATAATAATAAATGTGCACTTGTGTAGCACATTTTTCATAATGCAATTTTGTACTTTATACCAACTAAATAAAAGGACAGAAAAATATGCTTGTCTTAAAATCAGGATGGTTACCAACAATATGAAGTAAAATTCTTCTCCCTTTAAGTATGTCTAACATAAGTACTTTACACTGTACATATGTTAATACACTACACTTGCATAGTTTCCAGGACTAGTTCGGCAATAAGATAAATTAGACATATTCAAACCAACCTCTCCAACAATTTCATCTATTAATGATTGGTTGGTATGGCTGGAGACTGCGTCACCACGTAAACGACTTGCAATCTGGCCAAGGTATTCTAACGACGAAACACGCATTGTCATGTCATTTGACTTGTTGCTGAACTGACGCATCTAAGGGGAAAAAAATCATACATCATTGCATTATTTGTTCTTAATTGACTTTCCTAATTTTGATGTATGTAATGAAAAATCTGACACATGAGAAATGAAGGAAACAGAAATATGTGGAGAAATACAGAAGAGTTAAAAAACAATATTTCTTTCAGCATATATTTGCATCATGTGTGGTTATTTAAATAATAAAGCATGGCACAGGTGTGCGACGGTATTTGAGTGAAGCGCTGTGGTGAAAGTGTTTTTTTCCCCTTGTTTTGTTGAGTGGAACGGCTGCGAGCGGGATTGGCTGGGTAATGCCTTGTGTCTTGTATGCTGTGCCGTAGATTTCCGTGCGTTGTATGGTATATTGGGTACTGTGGCTCGGTTTCACATACTGGTGTGACGATGTTACAGGACAGACCCAAAACCAACACGAAGCGGGCATAAGATCGTGACCGTGACTTTTCATGTATTTGTTTTTGGTTCTTAATAATTAAATGTGCAAGTATATTGATTATTACTATACTTACCTTTGTTTGTGTGAAGGCCCTAATGTAAAATGAAACTATATAGCCTCGAAACATTATGGAATGGTAGATTCTTTGTTATGTCATGTATTATTGTATTATATTGTAGATCTTAGATGGTCGGAAGAACAGGAGGAAGATTGGAAGCACAGACCAATTGCTCTTTCCGATTGACCACTTGATGCCGGGAATCTCAAACTCGGGAGCTAAACTTATTAAATTATTATGAGGTTTTTTTGTACACCCGTAATTATGAGTTCGTGTTAGCCACGTTAGAGCGGAGTTCGTGTTAGCCACGTTATAAGAGCTGAGTTCGTGTTAGCCACGTTAGAAGTGCTGTGTTCGTGTTAGCCACGTTAAAAGAGCTGGGTTTCGTGTTAGCCACGTTAGATGTGCTGGGTTTGTGTTAGCCACGTTATAAGAGCTGTGTTCGTGTTAGCCACGTTATAAGAGCTGTGTTCGTGTTAGCCATGTTATAAGCGCTGAGTAGTATTAATTCAAAATAATAAAAAAGAAGAAACATTTGTAGTTTATGTAGTTAAAATTCTGTAGAATCTTACCAAAAGCCTTCCAAGGAGACTTAACAACAACTCAGCACTTGGCCATTCTGGTTTGTTGACGGTTGATAACATATCTTGTACAAAATTCTCAAATAGTGGACGGTAATCTTCTTCACCTTTGTTAACACACCTTTAGAAAACAAGATTGTTATCAAAAATTTTTTATCAGACAATTAGATATTTACAGTCTCAAAATAATTACTTAAGCCTAGCCTTCCTTTTTTACACTAAGGTCTAGAAGTCAAAGTCTGTTGTGCTAGCTTTCCTGTACATAGATATAGAACCCTATAGTCTAGGCCTAGGTATAGGAACTTACTTCTTGAGGAATGCGGCAAGGAAACTCTGACCCGTTCTGACTGCTGTTTCATATTGATTAATAATTAGAACATCAGTAAGCTAAATAGAAAAAAAATATGCTGCATGAGTAAAAACACTGTAGATGATAACATCAAAATAGTTAGAACATTACACCAAGTACATACATATAACAGAGGCTATGTACCTTGCAAAAATCACTCAATTTGAATTAAATGTATAATATAAAAATGTTAATTATTCAAAACTGCCGCAGGAGCGCTTTGTGTTATTATGAATGTTTACCTTGTTAGTTTCCTTTGGTGCCTCTGCATCTGAATCATCATCAGAATCTTGATCCTCGTCCTCTTTCCTGTCCTGATGGAGGTTGACAACACACTGTATAAGCTGCAGCACTAACGCTGTTACCATCTGAATACTTTGCTCAGAATTTAACCTAAAAAAACAAAAAATAACACGAATAATGATAATAAAATCTAAAAAACAACAAATAACATGAATAATAATAATAAAACCTAAAGACTGCATGTAGAATTAACACACAGCTGTTTCCCTTGTCGTTCATGTTTTTTAATCTCTATGTTCTTTGTTGCTTCTCCTTTCTTTTTGATTCTTCTCCTTGTCTTGTTTATTACCTTTTCCTGGTTTCCTTTTGAATGCTGTTGTTTTTTTCTTCCTCTCTTTTTTTCTTTCGTGTAATTTCTAGATAGGCTTAATTATTCCTTAAATTTATAAAATCTTATGCATTGTTGAACTTCAATTTCTGTATATTTTCGGAAATTATAATTAAAGTTTATTTGTATTTACCTAAGCAATAATAGACTCACATAGATGATGATATGCAGAGAACAGTTAGCTAAGAGAGGTATTTTTTTATTTTTAACTTACCTATAGCTTCGGAGGTTCTTCTTACTTGATGGAAGTTTGGCAAGAGATGCAAAGATATCCTCCAATATCAACTGCCTATGTTTCTCGTATTTGGAAAACACCTGTTGATTGGAAAAACATGTTATTAAAATTTAATATATATTTCCCAATAACGTGTCCTAATGCGAAAATGCAAGGGTGTATACCACAAGATTTTTTTTCTTATGACCAAACACACCAGTCCCTTATATTCATAACAAAGACCTAGTTTACAAAGCACTGTTCAATCCAGCATTTGGATGGAAAAAGAAATGTTAAATGCAAAAGAAATAAATATAAATAATAACGACTAATACTTACAACAGAGATAAGCTTCAAAGCGCTGAGTTGCAACTCGCTGATGTTCTCGACAAAGAATGGCGCTGTGCCAAGTGATGACACCTTGAGTAGAAGAAAAAAGAAATAATACATTTTAGAAAGAGTATGTATATATATATAT